CAAACCAAAATTTCATGTGACATGATAAGAAACCATATTAAATCAGTTTGATAAAAAATCCGGGGTCGGGTCGGGTCGGGTTCGGGTTTAGGGTGAAAAAAATCTGACTCGACTCGACCCGGAAAAAATATATAATTTTATCTTATATATTTATGAATAATTATAATAATACCCCTCTATATATTTTTTTTCAATTTAATAATTGTTTTTATTGAATAAAAAAATTCGGGTCTGGTCGGGTCAAGTCGGATTTTTTAAACTATCTATCGAGTAAGGTCGGGTGAAAAACTAATTTTATCGAATCAGGTCGTGTCATGGGTGGAGATCCCCTTCTTCTCGGGGCAGGTCGGGTGAACTAAAAACCTGACCCAATCCGACTCATGCCCATCCGTAATTTTATCATCGTTTAATGGGTTGGTGTTTAAGGCTGACGACTTATGCGTCAATTCTTCTCAAAAATGTCTAAATAATGTATGATGGGTTAGTCGAAAATTTAACCACGTGACAAAAGCATTACGTAGAAATAATCTTTTTTATTAAAATAAAATAAAGAAAAGGATGCAAATGAAACATTAAAATTAAAATATTAAAATCAAATTAATATATTTATACATGGATAACAGTATTAGTAAAATTATATAAAAATAAAGCTCGTAAATTTGATAAAGTTTATAAATATTTTATTTTATTAATATAAGTTTAGTGATTGGATTGGGGTGAAAATAGCAGAAAGCCAAACAAATGAAATGAAAAAAAAAAAAAACAGCTCAAACAAATTCTTACTAGAAAAAGGCTGCAAATGAAAAGCTTTCTTCAGTTTTATTTACAATTTTTGTGCTTTAAAGGCTAAACAAATTCTTAATTTCTAGGGTTTCCTTTGTTTTGCTATCTCAATTCATCTGCTTCTTGGTTTAGGTGGGGATCGGAATCAATGAGAGATCAATTGAATTCGGATCTTTTCGACCCGAGAATTGAGATGGTCTCGGAGTTTTCTCGTGGGGCCTCTAGCTCCGATGGCGATTTCGGTTTCGCTTTCAACGATAGTAATTTCTCCGACCGGCTTCTTCGGATTGAGATTATGGGTGGACCCCCTCAGTGCCGCCCTGATGGAGAGGGTTGCACCAGCATCGCCAATTGGGCTCGCGACCGCAAAAGGCGTCGAGAGGATATCAAGATGGAAACCGGTGCGGTTATGTTCCTCTCTTTCTCATTTCTTTCTACAAGTATCTCATTGCTTCTGGTTGGCTAGCTTAAAAAATCAGAGAAACTAGAGATTTGAAACATACTAATTTAATTTGTGAAAGCGATTCTTTGTGGACTTAGGTTGGTAAAGATGAAATTTATCAATTGGAAATTTTGTAAAGAAAAGGTGGTGCTAAATTGCTATGATCCTAAATTTGACTCACATTCTGTGTAATCTTGTGCTGTCTTGGAATCTTTGTGACTATATTTTCGTAGGAATGTTGCCCACTTCGTATTATAGTTTTTTATTTTCTTTTCCAGTTTTGGATCTTAGTTTATTCCCTGAGGATCAGGTTTTAAATGACAACCAGCCTGATATGGATGACGGTGGCTGTGAGAATCAAGATGAGGAGCCAATGGCAATGGTTGAAGAAACGCAATCAGGTTTTGTTGTTGTCAAGACTTTAGATAAGACAACATACAATTTGGTTCATTTACTACTGCCGTGGTATTCATTCTGATCTTGCTTTGAACTTTTGTAGGTGATGAGGATGCAAATAGCAATGAATCAAACTGGAGCATGGATTGTTCTACAGTTCTGAGAGTTAAAACATTGCATATCAGTTCTCCCATTTTAGCAGCAAAAAGTCCATTCTTTTACAAGGTAAGAGATTTTTTTTCCTCAAAAGTTTTTCAATAGAAAATAGAAAGAGAGTTCCTTGTATTAAGAATGCAAATGAGTTTGCAAGAATATTTCTCACCCCCTTCTTTGTTGATAATTACTGTTCTTTTACTTGTTTATTGATAAATTGTAGCTTTTCTCTAATGGGATGAGGGAGTCAGAGCAGCGACATGTAACCTTAAGAATCAATGCCTCTGGTATGCATACTCTTCAGTTTTTGGTTATTGGTTATTTTTCTTATTCAAACAAGTTTGAGCAGGCTATGTTAAATGAAAACTTTTAAATTATCATGTACAGAGGAAGCTCCTCTCATGGAGCTGTTAAATTTTATGTATAGCACCAACCTATCAGTCACCACAGCTCCCGAATTGCTTGATGTGCTGATGGCTGCTGACAAATTTGAGGTTGCCTCTTGTATGAGATACTGCAGCAGGCTATTGCGCAATTTACCTATGGCACCAGAGTCTGCTTTGCTTTACTTGGATCTTCCATCAAGTGTATTAATGGCTGATGCTGTGCAACCGTTGACCGATGCTGCAAAGCAGTATCTCGCTGGCCGTTACAAAGACATTACCAAGTAAGCTCCTGCTCTCCAATCCGGGCCTTTTTCCCTTCTTCTGATGAATTGAAATTGATAGTTTTATTAGTATTGTGATGCGATTACATACCTTATCTAGTTTGAACTGCGTGTAAGACTACATTATCCAGTCTTTAACATGCATTGTCGTAGCAGTATTCTTTTGAGCTCCTCGGAACTAAACGTTCTGAAATTTGGCATTATTAACATGGATGTCTGGCTTTAATGTTCTTTTTCAAAAAGAAAAAAATTTGAAGGTTTAATGCTATATTCTTAGGAAAACTTAAGGAAAGTTGAAAGGTAATATGTTAATGAAAACAGAACAATCCAAGCAGTGTAAATTTAGTTCTCCTTTCCCTTTCTCTCTCTCTCTTATTCATTAGGCCATATTCAAAGTAGAAATCATGCATATTTAAATGCTTATTTATTCTTTTGGAGCACATTTTACCAGGTTCCAAGAAGAAGTGATGGCATTGCCACTAGCTGGGATTGAAGCAATATTGTCCAGTGATGATCTGCAAATAGCATCTGAAGATGCTGTGTATGACTTCGTGTTGAAGTGGGCTAGGGCTCAGTACCCAAAATGGGAAGATCGTAGAGAAGTTTTTGGTTCCCGCCTTGCACGCTTCATTCGCTTCCCTTATATGACATGCAGGAAACTTAAGAAGGTGTTAACAAGTAATGATTTTGATCATGAGGTTTCATCGAAGCTTGTGCTCGAGGCCCTCTTTTTCAAGGCCGAAGCCCCACACAGACAACGAAGCTTGGCCGCAGAGGAGTCTACCAGCTTGAACCGTCGCTTTATCGAGCGATCTTACAAGTATCGACCTGTTAAGGTGGTGGAATTTGAACTCCCCCGTCAACAATGTGTCGTGTGCCTGGACTTAAAGAGGGAAGAGTGTGCAAATTTATTCCCATCTGGACGGGTTTATTCTCAGGCATTCCACCTGGGTGGACAAGGTTTCTTCCTGTCAGCCCATTGCAACATGGACCAGCAGAGCTCTTTCCATTGCTTTGGGTTGTTTTTAGGGATGCAGGAAAAGGGTTCTGTTAGTTTTGCGGTGGACTATGAATTTGCTGCGAGGTCAAAGCCAACAGAGGAGTTTGTTAGCAAATACAAAGGCAACTACACATTCACGGGCGGCAAGGCAGTTGGGTATCGAAATTTATTTGCTATACCTTGGACTTCTTTCATGGCTGAAGACAGTCTTTACTTCATAAATGGTATTCTCCATCTTAGGGCTGAGTTAACCATCAGGCACTAACCAACTCCTGCTTGTTCGTTCGAGTTTCTGCACAGTAACCCCCTATGTTGTTTTTGTTTCTCTGCTCAGATAGTGAGTGAAAGAGAGAATGTAAAAGTAAATGGATAGACTTTTCCCCCATGTTGACGAGTTTGTGTGGATTAACGTTTACGTTAATTTAGATTTCTATATGAAAGTACTTATTTTGAGATAATTCTAATTGTGTTGGAAGCCGATGGTTTAATGGTAAAGATGTTCTACATTTTCTCTCTTTTTTTTTATTTTTTATTTTTTTGAAATAAATGCTAGTCAATCTCCTATTGAAAAGATATAGAGACTGCTAGTCAATTTTGTCGTAGCAAGCAAGCATTGGAGATCCGAAAGTCTGATAGGAAGCAGTCCATCGGCATCCGTATTGGAAGTGGGTAACTGATGAGGAGAGACACCCCTCGCCAAATAAAATCCACATCTCTATGTTGTAGACGGCTCGAATTTGGATCTTATTTCGATAAAAATTATTTTATTTCTGAATCCTTTTGATTTAATTGTTGTTGACAATAATCGAAGTGAAAGCTTCTTTTTAGTATGGTGACTAAAAAAATTCAGTGATGTTTATTTTTTTTAAATCAGCAGAAGTAGCAAACAAAGCTAATCAAGAATTCCGAAGAACAAAGGGAAAGGAGGAAGCAATGAAGCTGAAGACAAAAATGAGACTTAATCTACAACACAAACGGCCAAGAGTATGTTCTGGTCGTCCTCAAGCTGAGCAATGACCAATGTGAAGCGATGAGGATCAAGCGGCTCTGCCACATCCCCAGCAAGTTGTACAAAAGGGCCGGATCAATGCCAGCGACATTATCCTTGTGGGACTATCAAGATGATAAAACAGATATTATCTTGAAATGCATTCTCAACGAGTCTCAGTGTCTTTCAGCCGACGGCCGAATCCCCAAGGAAGTCAAGTTGTATGAAGGGATTAACGGGGAAGATGCCGGTGATACTGCCAATGACTATTGAGTTTGAGGACTATATAGATAGGCTCTAAAGCCAATGGCAGATCTAGAAATTAAAAAATAAGGGTTCAAAATTTTAATACCCTATTCTAAAAAAAAATTGAGTATGTAAATTTCCTTTTTTTTTTTCTATTTACATTAACAAATTATACTAAATTTAGCATTTTTTTAGAATAATGAGTGTGTAATGGCTCCATGGAGCCATGTACATCCGCCCGTCTAAAGTTGTTCATGTTAATGTTAGTGTTTGGTCACAAAGTAGTACCTTATTGAAAGAGTATCAATCCATGAGCAGGACCAAATGAAAAGGTGACAAGGATTCATACAAGGCAATCCTACAATTACAGGATATAGATATCTCTTTTACAGGTTACAAAAAAGGACCAAAAAGATAATACTACCGAATAAATGAACATGCCGTTGCTGTGCATCTATTCAATTCCAGCAATCTTGCTCTTCAGTGCTTCAATATCCGTGGCTAGTTCTTTCCTGCTTGACTGAGGAAATAAGCATATGGTGTTAGCACTTGATGTTTAATGTGAATATACATACCATCATTCTTATTCTAAATAGCCTCAAAATCTTAAGATTTCACTTCTAAATGAAGCTATTTTCAAACATGTCTTCGTGCGCTTGTAACTTCTTTCTTAGAATGTCGATTTAACACGTTGAAGCATATGAATGATGATTGATGCAAGATGGCTCACCCAGAAAGAACAAGATTATCAAGAATTAAGATTCATGAGACCATGTAGTTTAAGTGAATCTCTTACCTTGAAGAGAAGGTATCTGTAGATAAACCATCCTGTGTATCCAAGTCCTATCAACTCCATCATCTTTGGAAGCTAGTTAGCACAGAAAATTGCCTCAGATTGGATGAGCTATTTAATCGAAAGAGATAATACATTGTAGCAAATTCATTTTCTGAGGATAGTCGCCCGTCTTAAGAGTGCTGAATTGTAGTGTTAAGAGTTCACTTACCAAAGGGACCGAGTTAACGGCACCAACGAGAATGGATGATAGCCAAACAGCAACTATAGCCCCACCACCATAAAGAAGAACCGTGGACTTGTTCTCAACTTTATCCCACTAGTAAACATGGGAAGAAAGCCTAGTCAGTTCAGCACTAAGCAGCTTTTAAAGCAAGATTTTAGAATTCGAATTAGAGCTAAGAGATGCAACCCTTTCACCTTTTAAAGGGTGCTGCATGAACCAGTAGGATGAAACACTTGATCGAGAATTCGATTATTTAGACCGGTGTCGACCATAGTTAGGTAATAAAGCCATTTTCTCACCTTTTCCTTCAATTCAGTGAAAAGCTCCCCAGCATCAACAGAGGTCTCCTCTGAGGCTTTTGTCTGAAGCAGAGAAAACCTCTTGGATTCTGTTTTGGGAACCCAAAAGTAGAGAAGGATTTAAATAATAAGCAAAGGCATACATATTATATCACATAGATTTTAAGAAATACACTTAAATCTCAGCATATGGAAGAAGAAAGAAATACTCTAAATACCAAAACAAAACAGTTTGCAATGCTATTTTTGCTGAATGCATAGGAATAAAGAACTATTAAACCATTTTTCTAAAGTTCTCCCAGGGTTCTTAGTTGTGTTACATTGACATAACGTATATTACTGCGGTCATCGCGGGTATCCCGCTTGCGACCTTTACTTAAATCCATGGTTCTCCCTATAAGCAATTTCTGAAGAAAGGAAAAAAGATTGTGTGAGACTTGGAACTCACAATCTATCCCAATGTTTGATTTATTCCATATATTGAAAACTCAACTCCAGTTTCCAGGCTACAATATGTGAAAACAACTATTTTTTTTTAATTAAAAAAAAGTTTAATTTTTTCAAATATGGCAAGAAGAGGATAATGAAATGAATTAAGTACTGAACTGATTATACATTATGCACGTGAGGTGAGTGCTGAAAGGGAATCGAAAGAGCAAATTACCTGGAACTAACTTAACGGAAGAGGAAAAGGAAGCGGTGGAAACACGAGGGAGGAGAGGCGGCAAGGCACTGCAGCGGGTAGTTCTAGCGGCGGTCGGAAAACGTGGAGCCAAAACGGCGGTGGCCACCATGGAAGATGACGCTGATGCAGCTGCCGCCATTTTCAAATATTAATTTGCGTTGTTTTGGATATACGTGTGGCGCTTGCAACGCTAATGAATCCTATCCTTGAACAAAGAAAGGAGTTGATGTACAAGCGAAAGTGAAGAAGATGAAGGACGCGTGGACAAGATTAGGATTATGATTGGTTGGTTCCCTATCTGCAAATCCACGTTTTAGGTCTCTCTTCACTCATTTCCATTTCTCTTTCTTCATTTTCATATATTAAAAAAATAGAGATAATGTTGAGTTCTCAATCAAATTAAATTAACTGAGCTTTTAAAATATTTAAGCGTTAATTAAATTACGCTATTTTATCAAGAATAATCAATCGAATTATTATATAGAAAAAGAAAAATAATCTAAAGTCAAAGTGAAAATTGATCCCAAATGGTTTAATAACTCCAAACCCTAATGCCCCCACATGGTTCACAATTTCAAGCCCTATTATCCTTCCAACAATGCCACCCCTTCTCTATTAAGTGAACCAATAAATATTTAGAAATATCATTTATTTTAAGTTTTTTAATACTGATCAAATCTACTTTATTTTATTTATAAATTAAAAAAATGAATTTTTAAATAAGGGTTTAATGCAATTTGAAGTGTAATATAATCATGGGACTAGGGAGTAGTCTACTCTACTCTTGTTGTTGTAGAATTTGAGTATAATTTAAGGAGCCTGCAATCAAATAAAGCCTTTCTTTGTTACTTATTTTTGTTCCATAGTCTTTGTAGTTATTTTAAGGTTTGACGCAATGTTTTGAAAACCAGACCGGATCGGTCGGTTTAATCGAGAATCGTTGTCTAGTCCGGTTTAATATAGATTGGTTGAACCGCTATTAGTGAACCGGTCGGAACCGCTGAACCGTTCAAATCGGACCGGCTAAAAATCGGGAAAAACCGGAAAAACCGTCAATTTTGTTTTTTTTTTAAATTAAACCAAACGACGTCGTTTGTTAAACGAGCCAAGTCGAACTCGAGTATTGCTAAGCTCGACTCGAACTTGAAAACTTTAAAAGTAAGTTCAACTCTACTTAAACTCACAAGCTAAAAATTATCAAGTTCAACTCGAACTCGAAATATAATATTGAAACTTGAACTCGAAAAGGTTTGAACTCAAAAAAAATTTAGAAGCTCGATTGAAGCCTAAAATTTGAGCTTGATTGAAGTGAACACTCAATGCTAACCAAAAGGCTCTATGATTTTGAATGTCAAATTACCTTTATTATTTATAGAAGTTAGTTGGGATGATCTTTTATGTTTCTTAGCCATGTGGGATTGTTTTAAAAAAAAATTAAACCAAACAATATCATTTTGTTATGATTTTTTTAGTTCCAAATTTATTTTTTAATTATAGTTATATAATTATATTTATTATTTAATATGTTTTACCTTAAATATTATGTTGTAGTTAATTTGAATCATTTTGTTTCACTTGATTTTATGGTTTTTAACTTATATATGTTATAACTTGCTTTGAATATGAATTGTGATATAAAAAATTATTTTTTATTAAATATTTTTTTTATTTAATTTTTTAAATAATTATATCGTCGTCCGGTTCTTCCGATCGATCGGACCGGTTGAACTAGTGAACCGGTAGCATGGTCGGTTCGCTAACCGGTCCGGTTCTGAAAACCATGGTTTGACGATATGAAAAAAAGTTTAAATATTTAGGGTAATTTACACTTAAGGTCACTTGATTACGGGTTTGATAATAAATATGTTGATTTTCTTTTAAAAATTATAAACAGGTCACTTAATTGAAATATTATTATAAACAAGTCACTCTTTGGTTAAAATTGAAACAAATGCTTGATGTGACCTGATATAATAATACCTTTAGTCTCAAAACTTATATATTATTTTAATTTTTTATCATAATTTGAAATAATTTAATAAATTTAACCTTTTTATATAAATTTTTTATTGATTTAACCTCTTTTTGTGATATTATCTAAGCAAGCAAATCTATTGGATCAAAGCATGATAACTACATTTTATCATAAACTAACAATAAGTTATTGTCAAACTATTATTAATCACTTATTATGCATTTATGCTAGAGAAATGATAGGAAAATAATGTAACATTTATGAGAGAAAAAACAAATAATTTAGGAGAAGAATATGGACTAAAACGATAAAAAAATTTAAATATAAAATATTAAATTTATTGAATTATTTTCAATTAAAATCAAAGTAGTAGATTTGGTATGTTATGAAGATTAAAACTTATTGTTATATCATATCATACTATTATTCTCGTCTAATATTTTTTGAATAATATTTTCATCTAATATTTAATGTTACATGACTTGTTTATAATAATATTTAATTATATTACTTGTTAATAATTTTTTTTAAATAATTTGTTTATTATTAAATATATAATTAAATGATCTGAAATGTAATTTACCTACAGCTATATATTTAACAAATTGATCCTTAATTTTTTTAGTTTTAAATCAACCTGGAAAAGGGGTTGTTTCTTTTGGCAAATGGCTTTATTTAAACATCCCCCATTCTCTCCGTGCAAAAACATTGCTTGTCATATTGCTTTAAGTTTTGCAGTTTCAAAGAAGAAAAGTTCTGAAATTTAGATTCTTTCTACTTAATTCTTTGAATACGAAATTGGGTTTTATTCCTTCTATTTTTATGTCTGAAAAAAAAGTATTTCTATTACTGTGAGTTTGAGTGTCTAAACATGTTTTCTTAAACCGTTTATTGGAACTTACTCATATTGTCTTGTTGTGATGTGTAATGACAAATTCTGATCATGATTTGTTTATGAATCTGGGCCCTGTTTATATCCTTGAGTCCTTAGGGTTTCATTGTCAGTCGTTTTAGCAGCGGTAATTTGGTTTTGGGCAAAAAACAATTAAGGATCTTTATATCTGAACCGTAATTGTCAACAAAGACCTGGAATGTTTGAGGTTTGGTAGTTGAGTTTTTTTCTTTAAGTTGACGAGATCAGATGTTTGTATGATGAATCTTAGGCGAGTTCTAAGCCCGCGAGTGCGAGGAGGAATCCCTAGTTGTTTCCCACAGGTAGTCTTTTTTTTCTGTCATTTAGTAAATGTATTTATATGTTTTTTTATTCATTGTTGCTTATTGGAGTTCTTCATCTGGATGCTTGTTAAGTTCGGTAATTGCGGGTCGCTCGAGCAACATGGATCTGCAAGGAATAAGATTTGGACAATTGATGAAAATCCTCCACCTCCGAGTCCAAATGATTCCCAAGGCAAATCCTTTGTTGACCTGTTGCTTAAACCGTCCGAAGAAGATCTCAAACGCTGGCCCCATAGGTAAGAACTTGGATATTTAGTTCCTTTGTTGATTTAATTGAAAAATCTATCGGAGGTGCGTATCTGTTGCTGATGTAGTTTTCTTTTCCTGTTTCAGCTTTGACTTTCGCCTGAGAGTATCGCTTTTAGCAGATGGAAGTCTGACATTAATATCACGAATTTGGAATGTTAACGGGAAGCCATTTAGTTTCTCTTTTGCGTATCATACATTTTTGTCAGTTTCCGACATTAGGTATATTTGACAAACAATTTCTGTTTTTATGGCGTCGAAGTTAGTTCTTTCTGGATTTGACATGAACATCACTGTGTCCACAGTGAAGTGAGGATTGAAGGGCTGGAGACACTCGACTACCTAGACAACCTTTGCCAAAAAGAACGTTTTACCGAGCAAGGGGATGCTATAACATTCGAGTCCGAGGTACACGAGTTTTACCATTCCTTTGAAGTATCCAAATATGTATGTTTTTGTGGTCTTAAGAGCTACTAAGACTGTTCGTTGGGTTAGGGAAAATTGGAACATTTCATACATGGTATAACAGTTCTGGCATTAGGACTTTGTTCTTGTTTGCCTTGGAATATAATCTATTATGCTCGAAGCCATTTGTCTTGCGAGAATGCTGCAAGGCGAGTTTTAAACAATGACAACTTAAATGTTCTTCAATTGGTGCGACAGGTGGATCGAGTTTATCTCAGTACTCCAAATGTAGTTGCGGTACTTGATCACGAAAGGAAAAGAACGTATGTTGTCAGGAAGGAAGGACTACCCGATGTCGGTATGCAAGTACATTTAAGGATGTTTTTAGGACACGAAAACTATGAGGATTTCATAAAGGAGTGCAGCTTGGTCTGTTTCTAAACAAATAACAAAAAGATTGTGATTCTGTAGTTAACAGTGGTATGGAATCCATGGGAGAAGAAATCAAAATCAATGGTAGATCTTGGAGACGTCGAATACAAACAAATGCTATCCATGAACGGGGCAGCAATTGAGAAGCCGGTGATGTTGAAACCCGGTGAGTAGTGGACAGGGCGGTTAGAAGTGTCGGTTGTCGCATCGACATTAAGCAGTGAACATTTTGATCTGAGGAGGATGTAGGATGTTTTAGTACAGATCCACAGCCACTGGTAGGACATGTAGGAATAGTTCAATGTTAATCAACAAAAGCAAGGATATGCTTTTTTATGTTAGCGTTGAGTTCAGTGTAAGTACTAAGTAGAAAACCCTATGTTTTGTTTTTTCTAAACATGAGATGGCGGCCTCTTGTGTTTTTGTTGTTTCCATGTCACTGAGAAATATGAATCTCTAGAAATGAAAATTATGACATTGAGCTAAGTGCTAAAATAGTGATCTTTGTGCACATTAGCTTAGCTATATGGCAGCATAAGTAACTGCAATGGCTTTGCCTTTTAGGTTACCTTTAGGCAGAATGATATTTTGGCCCCTCACTTTTATGAGTTAAGTTATTTTACTTTTAAAAATTTTACTTTCGTTTCATCAAATTGGTTTAAAAACAATAATGAACATTAACTATTAAAATGTTATCACCTATTTTCTTCTTATTGAAACGTCAATGTCAATTATTTTATTATTTTTGACATATTAATAAAAAGAGAAAATAATCTCAGTGGCAAAAAATGTCTGATAATATACGATTTTAACCAATTTTTTTTGGATTTGTTAAAATGACCAACTAAATCGCAATGCGATCGATAATTCGTAACGCGATCTCCGGTATCGCAAATCATTTTCCAGATTCTCAACGCGAACTTCGACTATCGCATTGCGATTTACATATTCGCATTGCGATAGTCGAAGTTCGCGTTGCGATTTATTCCAAATTCGTTGCGATAGTCCAAAATCGCAACGACTCGTGGTATTGCATTTGTTTCTTAAGAATTTTCTCTAAAAAGATAGTATTCACGCGGATGTGTCGAAGACACGTATTACCACGACCACGACCCGAGACGAGACGGACGGACAACGGCGGCGGCGCGCGAGAGTCCCCCTTATTCTCTATCACTCAACAAGGAAGTGGGAAAGCCAAGCCTTAAATACCATTCTCAATAGTGTTTCCAATACTATGTGGGATTGAGAATTACCAACACTTGTTTCCAATACTATGTGATTATTCAGGAAACAATTAACAATCATGCACCTTAAAACAACTGAATCAACAACCAATTGCATTAGTATTATACGATTAAATATGTCATAATTAAAAATCAATATACAATCAATCGCGATTATTGCAATTTTAAGCAAAACATTCCAAAAAAATTGCATCACTCGCGAGAATAAAAAAAATTGTTATCGTGCAATTACAATCAATTGAAAATAAATTAGAATTACATGAAAACTAAACGAACCACAAATACTTTTTATACAAATACTAAAGTCATTAACTATAATTCACAAATAATATCACTATTTAAGGCTCAATCCCACATAGTATTGGGAACAAGTGTTGGTAATGCTCAATCCCACATAGTATTGGAAACACTATTGGGAATGGTATTTAAGTCTTGGTTTTCCCACTTCCTTGTTGAGTGATAGAGAACAAGGGGGACTCTCGTGAGCCGCCGCCGCCGTTCGTCTCTTCTCTCTTCTCGCCTCGGGTCGTGGTCGTGGTCATACGTGTCTTCGACACGTCCGTGCGAATACTATCTTTTTAGAGAAAATTCTTAAGAAACAAATGCAATGTCAGCATTATTGATCACTGAGGTTATTTTGGTAAATCCAAAAAAAATTGATTAAAATCGTATATTATAAGACATTTTTATCACTGAGGTTATTTTCTCTAATAAAAATTATAGAAAACAATGTCAGCATTACATAAGAATGGAAAGTCTTTTTTAAATTTTTTATGATGTAAAAATAATTAATATCAATATTATTTTATTTGAGAATAAAAAAGAATATAATGAAAATTTAAGGGCTAAAGCAAGTCCATCCTTGGACTGTTGATGTGAAATGAGATAGAAAATAGCATGATTTTGATTGCAATAAAGGGCAGTGATATGGATTAATTGTAGGGGTGGCAATTGGGTGGGAAAAATTAGAAGTTGTAGGGATTTGAGTTGATAGGGATGTGGAATAATCGAAATCTTCATCCATATGGATAGAGATGGGAAAGTTTTATCTCTTAAACTCAAATAAGGATGGGATGGAGACGAAGACAGGGATTGTTGTATCTGAATCGTGGGGATAATCAAATCGTACTCGTGTGAATAACTGTATGGATCCCTGAAAAATATCTCTAGGAATCCATGATATTTTACAAAATTTTAAAATATATTTATATTCATTTACCTATATACCCTTAATATATTTTAATAAAAAAATTATGTATGATAAGATTGTGAGATTACGTGTTGCTACTGTTACATCTCAAATAACTAAAATTTAAGTTTAGATCTTTTCTCATTTAATATACATTGATTTGTTAAGATTGAAAATGATTAAGATTATATATATACATCGGGTGTTAGATGAATATTGACGTTTAAAACTTCATATTATAGATAGAGATCAATTGAGACAATATGATATATCTTACAAGTTTTTGGTGTTGCATTGATTTCAAAAATGTTTGTTTATTTTTTTGGGATGATGATTGACTAAAACTCACAAAGATAGTAAGTGATGGATATGTAGGCAAAAAAAAATTTCCGAATATATAATAGGGATTCTCACAACATACACACAAGTGTCAGGGACGAATTGAGTAATGTAAAATCGTCCCCATCCCCGTCCCGTTGCCACCCCTAATTAATTGAAGAAAAAATGGAAATCACTTTATCTTAGAGACAACACAAAACAGAGACCCTATATATCCATACTTTACGAGACAGTCATATACACCGTACCATAACCATAGTCGCGCTTAAATATCACCTTTCCGACTTTCATCTCAACGTGACACCTTATTTTCCCTTAAAGACCCACACCACCTCTCCATTTGTTCTATAAAATAATAAAAGAAACGACCACCCAAAAATAATCAAATAATTAATACAAATACAATAAGCCAATGGATTTTACTATATGAGGATGATAACTCTTTATTTTCCACAAGTATAATGTAATGTGTGAATAAATACTGCTACAATCCAATGTGGATACAGAATGTAACCTCCCGGCCCAATCCATCAAATCAATCGGTCCTTTTTACCATGTGTTCTGTTTCAGTGAATGTTGAGCCTGCAACAAAATTAAACACACAGATCTAAACACACAGAATGTAACCTCCCGGCCCAAGCCATTATATTTTTTTCAATTTCACTCAAGGTAACCAACGTTGCCTTACCATTTTAACATGTTGATGACGCATTTGGGCATGTCGCCGCCGTCAAGTTGTTTCTTGGACATCCCGTCGCACTTAACGGTAACCCCGACCATGCCGATCTTCAACCCCGCCACGCTCACTCCGACTTTCGTCCGAGCCTCCACGTTCACCAGTAAACTTTTGCTTCGGTAACGAGCCTTGAGCTTGTTCCCGACCTCGTCGACCACTAGCTTGTTACTCACCTTTGTTTCTACCCTCAAACTCCTCGTGCTCTTTTTCCGCATAGTGAACTCCGGCACCGATGTCGTTCCCAAATCGGTCTCGGACACACCTTCCCCCACGGTGACATCAACCTCCGTGTTGCCGTAATAGTAAGTCATCTTTCCGTTTGGGTTCTTCACTTCCAGTCTCGTCGTCGTTTTGGCATCGAGGTTGGTTCCGTCGGGTCTTCTGTTGACGTTGAAGCGGGAGATCCGGAACGATTGGACGTGAAATCTGGGTAATTTCGGGTCGAACCAGAGGTAGAAAGCGGCGGCGGAAATGATAATGAGGAGAAGGAAGATCAAAAAGAAGATGCAGAAACAACAGCAACAAGCACGGCCATAATTAGTCTTTCTTTTCTTGGGATGAAAAGAAGGCGGGAGAATCGGTTTCCGTGGCGGTGGTCTAAGCCCACGGGGACCGGCCGGGACGTTTGGGTCTTTGTATCCGGGTGGCTTTTGGAGAACCGGTTTCACTGGGGTTTCAGACATGCCTCCGATGTAGAAGAATGTGCATGCAAAATTGGGATGAATCGACGGAATTTGAACAAAGATCAACAAGAAAGAATCTAAACTCTAGAGATCCATGAATTGGATAAAAATTGAAGACAAACACGAACCTTATCAACCCGATGATTGATTGGTGCAAAGATCTGAATCGTCAGAATGGAAATGGATATGTAGAGAATCCAACCGCGAGCTTTGAATGATAAAAAGAGTTGCAGAGCATATAGAAGGAATGGGTGAAGAGAAGAATGGGAAAGAAAGAAGATTTGCCTCTTATAGGAAACAAGAGGGGTTTGGTAGGGATGAGCTAGCGAGATTCACGCGCGGGAATTTTTTCTACTTTTGTCTTCTACTTATTTCATTTTCACTTAGACTATAAATGTTACGGGTAAAACACACCTAAGGGTCACTCAGTTATTAGTTTGGTTACAATTGGGTCACTTTTTTCTTCTATAATTATAATTTAATCATTCAATTAAAATATTCTCATAAATACATTACTCTTTCGTTAAAATTACTTCATTCAATTATTATTTCGGATTCAAATGAGTCACTTTTTTCTCTAAAAGTTATATTTGGGTGAATTAAAAATTTAAAACCTTTATTATAAACATATTATTACTGTCATTAAAATTGGAACATACGTCTAATGAGATCTATTATAATAACAATTTTAATCACCAAAATTTAAACATTCTATTATTTTTTCTTAATTCAAAATAATGAGTAAATTTAACCCTTTATATTTAAAAAATTCATCAATTTAATTCTTTTTTACGATACTTTCAAACCAAGTAAGTCCATCGGATCAAAATAACAATAGGATAATTGCAGTCTACCATAAAGTAGCAACAAGATATTAGGTACTATTAACCATTACTATACTAGAAAAGTAATATAAAATTTATGGACGAAGAACAAGTAATTTAGAAGAATAATAAAATATTAAGATGATATAAATTTTATATGTGAAGGATTAAGTTTATTAAATTATTTCGAATTAAGATAAAATTAGTATAATTTTTAGAATCTAAAATTATTATTACATTGGATCAAATTATTGTTTCATCAAATATTTAATCGTTATGGTATGTTTGTGATAATATTTAGTTGAGTGACTAAATTACAATTAAATGAATTAGATGTTTGTAACCGAATTAATAATTAAACGAATGAGGTGTATTATACCCAAATGTTATACACCTACCATATATTTTGCTTTAAAGTTAGTTTTGAATCGTTAAATGTTTACCCATACTTGGGTAAGTAAAACTAATAAAAGTAAAAAAGAGATGAGTTAACTGAGAATGACTATGGGTACATAATTAGCCAAGAATATTGAATACTGTGAGTAGAGGTACTTGGTGGTGTAAAGACTGTGTCCGAGTGTGGGGTTGAAATGGAAGCGCATGTTCTTCCATGTGGGGCATAAGAGCTACGCTGCCGTTATCCTCAAACTTGTCCTTTTCAAAACTTCCACCGACGCTGCTCTTTTTCCTTTATAACCCTTTCTTTATAGCTACGCGCACCATCCGGTGATAAAACCGACACAAATTCGGGCAAATCTGTTACAAGAGGGATGTTTGGTATTTTTGTGCGTTGTCTGAAGTCTTTCGTATACTAAGCTCGACGTTCAACTGTTGATGTAAGTTAAAGCTTCATCGTCACTTGTTAATCTTTACTTGATGTTACTTCCGCACCTTCTAATCAGTTCACCTTTGAAGATAATAATCATATAATCCGGGATAGATCGAATAAGCGGGTGGAAATGATATTTTTTAAATTTTTATATAATTAAATTATTTTTTATTAATAATTTAATTTTTCTTAAATTTATAATTATTTATTAAATATGAATTGTGATTTTAATATAAAATCATACATAAGCGCTTGCACAATTATTCTTGATTGATAAAATTGTAAATGTGGGTGGACACTGGACAGGGAGGCGGGGATGTGACACCGATGCTCGACCGAAAAACCTAGCGCTGATCCAAATAGTTGTGGAGCCGCATTTGCCTTGTTTGTCGGTGAAGAATGGCGCCCACACGTTGAAAAATGGCATCTATATTGTGGGTATCAACTATCAAATAGCCAATTATAGCCCCCCCAGACTTTCTTATTACGAGTTAATTAGTCGCACCAGGTTGAAAGAGTAACGGGCATGATTGACTTAGATTTATATATTCAGGTATGCATCTATCTATGCTATGTGCGCAATGCAATTCTAGATTTAAGGGATATTGTCGGTACCTGCTTATTACTCAAGTCTAAGTTAATGAATATTTTAAGTTTGTAATTTATATGGACTTTGTGATTAATTTTTAATATGTTCATAAAATGATGTTGTGTTATTAGTTTCTTCGTTGTATTTATGTTGATGTTCTTTTATTTATTTAAAATATTAAAATTTGTATAATATTTTTAAAATTTATATTTTATTTTATATATTTCGGCATATTCATTTTTGTGTTATGTTTATATTATTTTTCTTCATTTTTTATGCAGCATATTATGTTAATTTAATTTATAAAGTAATTAGTTGGTTTGTATTATATTTTTTGTTGCGTCTTTATTGACTCATATTTATATAATTTGTTATAGTTATTCAATTTGTAAACAAAAATATGTCAATGGTCTGGTTTGCATTAATAAGTAAATTAGAGTTTGTCGTTATTGAATTTTAAATATAAAATAATTTAATTGAGATTATTTTAAATTGTGATATTATATAACTTGAATACGTGTTTAAATATTTGTATATTATCGTGAAGTGATTGAATTAATCGATGAACTTGATCAAATTTCAAACCTTAGATTTCGAGAATGCAATAATAATAAAATACTTTATGAGAGAGCTTTGTTACTCTTATGATCATATCCGACTCAGTAAGACTAATATCTACTTAAAGCATTCAACGAATAGATAAAAAGGACCTTGAATCCCTAATTCACGCACACAAAGAGTGTGTTTATATTATTGTAACTAATTCGGAGGGTAAATTGGTAGGTATAGGCATATGTTGGTGGCAAAAGTGGCCCAATAGGACAGATGTTCAGTGGATTATTTTCAAATTAATTTGAGATCTACGACAATTTTATAGTACAAGAAAAATTAGTTATGTCCACGTGATGAGTTTTAAGTCATTGTAATAAATACCATAATTCCCAAGATAATTTATGTGGTGTCGTATTAGGCTAAATAAAAAACTCGCTTGTCATATTGGGTTAATTTTGCCTTTGTTGATGGCACCTGAGTTGGTCTTGGGCTTCGGATACTTATTTAGGTTTTCAACATGCTTGGAGCTGGACCCAGAAATATGCCATGGGCTACTCTAACAAATGGTTCAGGATATAGCCCTTCACTACTCACTTTGTGGAAATAGAAATCAAGTTTGCATTCGTCGTGATTGCTCTTGTAACAATACATAAAGTGAAAGCATAGATGGAGAACTTACCACAACCCACAAAGATTTAAGATATTCAATTTAAACATGTACAACTAATTTAATTTAATAATAAAATTAAAATTCAAAGGTCAAAGGCAATGATAAAAGAATTACAATTGAGGAAGTCAAATATGACCTATTCTATGATGAAGACTGTAGACTGTGTGAATCTTTGATGTTTTAATTTCCAATTGTAGAAATTTTATTTCAAATAATTCAAATATGTTTTGATTTGAGAAATCTTAATCTTACCGATCTCGTTTTGTAATGGTTTGTCTTCAAGAATTATCATTCTTGTAACCAAGTAAATTTGATATAATTTTTTATAGAGTCAAAATGATATCATTTTAGCATATCATTACACCATCTGTCATAACACAATTAACAATTCAATGATAGAGTGACCAAAATAAGAAAAAATTTAAAATTAAGTTGATAGTTTTTAAACCTCAATGACTAAAATAATAGTAAAAAAAGTTAAGCGGTAAAAATTAAAATGCTTAATACATTTTTAGGTGCCTAAATTATATTTCAAATTAACTTTTGGTGTCTAATTTTTTTTAGCTAAAAATAGGTGTCTAATATTTTATTCGTTATACTCTTAGGTGCATATTGTTTAAAAAATCGTTAAGTGACATAAGTCACATCTATTTTTTTAAATTTTTTTAAAATAATATTGTATTTTTAAATAATTAAAAAATATAAACGTGACATGTGACACTTAATGATTTTTTTACAGTAAATACCTAAAAGTGTAACGGAAAAAATATTAGAATTTTTTTTTAATGAAAAATTCTTTAGACACCAAAAAATCAATTTAAGATATAATTTAGATAACCAAAGTGTATCGAACCAAATTAAAATTTAACCTTAAAATAAAAATAAAAATAAAAATAAACTTATTTCTATTAAAGTAGTTTTATTCAAGATACTCCTATAAAACAGCGATTCTTGCCATTTTGACTTCTCTCATACAACTGAAACTCTCTGTGTCACTGGTCTCTCGCTCTTTACTCTCCAACAGTTTGCTTTTGAAATTATCGTTTCTTTTACAGATTTTTATCTCTTATTTTGTTCTTCAAAAATCCCATTTTGATGATTCTGTTCCGGAGATGAAGCCATCGAGTTGGTTCCCAGTGAAATATACAGAGCAAAGAACTGTAACAAACAAGACAGTAAAGCCATCCAGCAAGTGGTTTCCGATGGCGTCCAAAGCTAAAGCCCCTAAAATTGTCAGGATTTATGTCACCGATGAGGACGCCACGGATTCTTCCAGCGACGAATGTGAACGGTCGAGACATCGTAGGGTGAAAAGGCATATAAACGAAATCAGGATTGAAGATTGTTCCACCGTCAATTCCTCCAAGCCGGCAAACAAGCAAAACAGGCAAATAGTTAATAAAAGCAATCATGTAAATATGAGATCGAAGAAGCAACAACAAAAGCTGCAATCTTTGTCCAACGGTGTCGTCAAGTATCGTGGAGTTCGACAAAGGCCGTGGGGAAGATGGGCGGCTGAGATCAGAGACCCCACGAGTCGAACCAGGGTCTGGCTCGGCACTTATGACACTGCTGAGGAAGCTGCCTTGGAGTATGACCGAGCCGCGGTTCGAATCAAAGGTCCCGATGCTCTCACAAACTTTGTGAAGCCTCCGGTGAGTCCTCCACCGGAGATTGATCTTGAAATTAATTCCGGGTATGATTCGACTCAAGACCCCCAGTCTCTCCGTTCACCTACATCAGTTCTCAGATTCCAGGCCAACGAAGAGGCTGAACTTCAAACAGACTCCAAAGATGACTCCTCGGAGCACATCGAAAGTGAGTGGAAACCTGTCGACCAACTCCAAATAGAACCGAGTAACTTATCAGATGAGTATTTATTAACAGATCCCGGTGTTTTATGTGATTACTTCAATTC